CAAGTATGCTTGGAAGAGACTCAAATGTTCAAAAGAAGCCATAAGATGGACTTAATGCATGTATGGAGCCCTTAAGACCATAAAGTTGGCATCTTTATGCCAAAAGAGCTCAAGAGGACCAAGTATCTGGAAGAATAGCACTTGGGATGACCTTCAACCCCACTAATCACCAAAACTTGGCTAAAAGCCTCAAAACTAACCCAAAAAGAGATCTAATCAAATATTGAGCAAGGTTAGAACTTTATACCAGAAATATGCTGGAAATGAAGCAAAAACTCAAGATCTTGAAGGTTCCAACTTGAATCACCACCTTGCACCAAACTTCTCTTTCTTCTAATGGCTTCAAACACACCCAAATACACTCTCAAAGGGCTCACAACACTAAAAAAGGCTTTAGGGTTTCAAGATTAGGGTTACGGACTTTGGAGGCTGGAAATGAGGCCAAAACTTGCGACTTAAGGTGTTTAAATAGGGTGCACAACCCTAAAATTAGGGTTTCCTCCATAGCGGTCAACTCGTCGAGTTGAGACTCCTCAACTCGTCGAGTTGCCTCATGAAATCCCGCGGTCAAAACAACTTCAACACGTCGAGTTGGGGCTTCCAACTCGACGAGTTCTTCAGGAGAAATGCAATAATTTGAATTAAAATTACACAAAAAATAAGGTGTTACAACATCTATTTTATAAAGTTTGTTTCGGTTTTTGGTTTCTCTCGATTTTTATATTGCTAAAACTGAAACGAACCAACTTTTTCGGTTTCTAAATATTACCAACCCAAATCGTCGATTTATGGATAAGAGTTTTCTTGGAATTGATTGGGATTGAGTTGTGAGTTATTATTGGGGTTTTGTTAAGGGTTTTGTTGGAATATGTTGAGGTTGAATTGTAGATTGGGTTTGAATTGCTGATAAGCTGTTATAAATGCACTATTGAAATTTGGTTGTTATTGAATTGATGTTTCTTGTATCAAATTTATAAACCATTGGTTTTAATCATAACTAGAAGGGTGCATTCGCTTCACTACGGGTCAGAAAAGTTGTTGTTGTGATTCAAATTTTACGGCACATATTTGTTATTAGATTTTTTTTTAAACATCCATATTTTCATTATATTTTTCTACATAAGGTGGTTTGTGTAAAAAAGAAAAAAGTATACACAACATCTTATTAATTGGAAGATATATGAAGAAGAAAGAAATATATAAAGATCGTTTATGCAACTTTGAATTCAATAAAGAAGCATAGGTGCATGATAGCAAATCCAACTCCTTTAATTCCATTGGCCTATGCAAGATAGTATAACCCATAATATTTGCAACGAGTCAAAACCACTTGATGGGAAGAAAACCCTCGGCTCCAAACCAAGCGGTAAGGGCTCGACTTGACAATGCCAACTGTACATAAGCTAACAATGGTTTTAAGTTGTATAATAATTTAGGATGTTTGCTTTTTTCAATTTTCAACTTATAAATTTCGATACAAACCTGTCTTATTCAATTCTTGATATTCGTGTTGATGATCCAATTCTCCACATCACAACAATTCATATCACGTAATACAATATTTAATGTTTTAAGTACCCTGAAACTTTTTTTATAGTCATATAATCTTTATTTATTAGATAATATCTGTGATGGACTTAAATATTTGGGTCCTTGTGAGAGATTAGCCTTAAACAATCGTACAAATCGCATACTGTCTGGATCGGGCATCATGTTATTACTGAAAAAAATAATATCAATCAGTCACACTTATATAAATATATTTGTATTCTTTTAAAAAATGATATTTTTAAAGATATTTATCACAATAATTTCAAAATAATCACTAATGTCATGTTCTCATATGGTCAATAGTGGCGTCGAACGGGCCGACGACAATGCAACACCTACGAAACAGCATTTTCTAAGAACTTTCTCCTATCCAACCAATCACATCACGCCACGTTTCCTACAACATGTGTTGACCACGATAACACACAACACCCTCCCACACCATATATCAATCTCCCACACAGCTCTCTAATGGAAGCAGCGACTTATTCGTTGCCTCCTTCCATTGAACCTATCGTCGTTTTCAACGATCAATCATCTCGTTTCTTCTGGATATACCCGTCGTTGAAAGTTGAAACCCTAAAAGGTTCCAGTTCTTCATCTCAATTCCAGTATTCATACTTTCACGTGGTTTTTAAGGTTAGGGTTTCGTATAAACCTGAAATCTTAGATTCAAAATTCGTGTTTCTGTATCTCTGTATCTGTATGTGTTGAGTGTTTTTCTGTTTCTGAAAAAAAATTATGGAGTTCAATGTATCGGATGAGTTTTTGGGGACGGTGGCTCCGTTAGTGGTGTATTGGTTGTATTCTGGATTTTACGTGTTGGTTGGATCGGGAGAGAAGTATCGATTGCATTCGAAAAAAGATGAAGAAGATAAGAATTTGGTTTCGAAGACGACTGTTGTCAAAGGTGTTCTTCTCCAACAGGCTATTCAAGCTGTCGTCGCCATTATTCTTTTCACAGTACGTTTAATTGTTCCTAATATACTTATTTTAAGAATATAAAACATAAATTGTTGCAAAAACTTGATTTTGTTCTACACGATGAATGAATGACAAATGATGCCTCTTTTGGAAAAAGTGGTTTAAAGTTGGTTGTTGGTATGGTTCAATCAGTTACTCTGCCTTTACCAAAACGTAAGTGATCATAAATACTATGCTTACTGATTTCTTCTAAATACGAATCTTCAATGGAGTAGGTATCAAGTTAGATCCTGTTAATCATCGATAATTTCTCCATTCTAAATTCTGTCTCTCCGTAATTTCATCTTCTAATCTTTAGGATTTCCGATCTATGATTTAGGTTACTGGAAGCGATGAAGATTCCACCACCACCAAAACCCACTCACTCTTTGATCTCGCAAGACAATTCTTCACAGCAATGGTGGTAATCGACACCTGGCAATACTTCATGCATCGGTACATGCATCAGAACAAGTTTCTATATCGCCATATCCACTCCCTTCATCATCGCCTCATTGTTCCATACGCATTTGGAGCTCTTTACAATCATCCAGTCGAAGGTCTTCTACTGGACACCATTGGTGGAGCACTTGCTTTCCTCATATCAGGCATGTCCCCTCGAGCTTCCATCTTCTTTTTCTCATTTGCCACGATCAAAACAGTTGATGATCATTGTGGATTATGGCTTCCTGGGAATCTTTTCCATGTGTTTTTCTGGAATAATTCTGCTTACCATGATGTTCATCATCAACTTTATGGGACAAAATATAACTACTCACAGCCTTTCTTTGTTGTTTGGGATAAAATATTTGGGACTTATATGCCTTATTCACTTGAAAAGAGAGAGAATGGTGGGTTTGAAGTAAGACCTGTAAAAGATGTCAAGGATGAATGATTCTTTTCTATGGTTAATAGGTTATATATGTATCACTATGTTTGCATTCACTGTTTAAATGTTTAAGTATATTTATCTTGTCATCATAAGTGTCCAATATATATAGTGTCTACCAATTTTGTAAAATATTGGGATTACAATTTTCTTTATTCTTTTTTGTGTATTGTAACCAATGTTTCATTTATTTTGATGTTTGTAAACTTATTGATAGCTAAAGGGAGTTTTTAAACATATGATGCAAACTTGTTGTCATTTCTTTGTGAAATGTTGAAGAACACTTAGGGTGTTTTTGGTTTATGGGTTCTGATAGAATTGGAATTGGAATTGGAATGTGAGATTCCATTCCAGGGCATGTTTGGTTGCCAAATGGATGGAATCAAAATTGTTGGGAATCGTTTTAATTCCATGTTTGCTGGCTTTTTCACCATTCCTAGAGGATAGTGGATTCCAGGGTGGAAGGAATTGAATTGGATTCTTTCTTTTTTAGTAAATGACCAAAATACCCTCACTGTATATGTATTAATGAAAAAAAAAAAGAACTAAGACTTCAATATATTTATATATACAAAAAGCAAAAAAATGTTTGGTTACAAACTTACATTATTTCAACCGTCTAATGAGTTGTTATGTTTATAGTTTATATGTGGATCCATGTAAGCAAATTGTGGCATAAAAGTAATCTTCATGTGTGATGATGTGGACAATGACATGGCAATGAATCATGCCATGTCATCATTATTATAGGTTTCAAGGTAATTGCTATTTTGAGTGGAAGATAAATTGCATTGTCTATAATGGTAAAAAAAGGCAAGTGTAATGCTATGAAACCTGTATCAACCTAACATTTCACTTTGAAATACAAAATTTCTTTTGGCAGCAAAATTGAATTTGTATGGCTCTCTCTCTCCTCACAACAACAAAAACAACTTAAAAATGTCGATAAGCATGTTACAGTTTTGTTTTGTTTTTTTTTTTTTTAATTTATTTTTAATATTATGAAAACCAACATGATGCTAGAAAAATAAACATATATATATATATATATATATATATATATATATATATATATATATATATATATATATATATATATATATATATATAGAGAGGATCATTTGAGAACTCATAGTTTCCCAAAAATCTCAGAAATAAATGTAGAACGATAGATAAAAAAAAACAGATGATCAAGATCATTTATGACATTTTTGTAAATAAATTAAAACTTATAGAGGCAGGGGTATCTTAACTTAAAAATACAAAGGGTATTATAAGAAACACAAATTTAATTTAATAATATCCTTAATCGTAGATCTCAAGTGAAACATATCTCGTTCTCTCTCCCCCTCTCCCTCTCACTCTTTGTCACGATTTGCCATCCAAAGACCACTGTAACTTCATCGCTGATTCATCAAACGCCACCGTATAAAATCCATGGCCATCTCCTGTATTCGTCACCCCATCGATTGATCGTCGTCTTCACCGTCTCTCTTTCGTCTCCATCGATATTCCCTGATTCCGATCAAATCTGTAGGACGAGTTGAACAAAACGGAACTTTGGTCGATGTGACGGTGGAATTCATTCCAAAGATATATGTTGTCTAGATTTGAAATTAGTCGATGTTCCTTAATTAAACTCTCGTTACCAATCGAGTTTGAGACTACTGCCTCCATACTTCTACAATTCTGTCCAGATTTGGAATTAATCCATGGCTCCGTCTTCGATTTTGTTGCGATTGCCCTTGGAGACTTGAAACTGTGTTACGAGAAGCGTAGTCAACGTCAATCATACTCCGGCGAGGACCGGGCGTGATGCTGAAAGCCGATGCAATCTCTACCGATATCAGCAACTGTGATCACGACGACAACCTAACCTCCCATTCCGAAACTCGGTCGTCGTCATCTCCACCGCTGACATCGAAGTCGGTAATTCTGACTTCCTCTCCCATATCAATCAATTGGTGAGAAAGTTGAGCCAATTTCAACAAATTAAAGGTCCAGGATAACACTTTTTTGGTTAGGATTCATAGATTGGAGAAATTTTCCTCTTATCTCTTACAAATTTCAACTGATACGATGCTAGGTCTTGATCATTAATTATTTATAACTCCTATTCTGCAGACAACGCTCTCAGCTACTTGGCTTTTCTGCTATGTAATTCCTACACTTCTGGTTAGTTCTTGGAATCTTGAACTTTTTACCTTGCTATTTACAACCATTTAAACTAGCATATATTAATATAGTTTTCCAGTTTTTCCCTTTGGTTACAATACAAACATAGTTCCAGTACCAGGGTGTGATGATCTTGGCTTGTCCTTACATTATCTCATTTGCACTAACACATGGCTGATAAACGTGACACAAATACCTCAGCATGCGTTTTTTACACAAGAAACACGTTTTTTACACAAGAAACACGTTCGGGCTTTTAAAAGGGCAGCAAAATCAAACGAAACTTAAAGTTAAATATGTTGACCATTTACTCCTGTTTTTGACTTTCCCATTCGGTTAACTGATCTTAATCTTTTAAAAGGGCAGCAGAGTCTCTTGAAAAACTGCTTGATGTAACTAAGGAAGAGCTTCCTGACACATTGGCTGCTGTTCGTTTATCAGGAATGGAAATCAATGACTTAACAATGGAGCTCAGTGATTTAGGGTTAGCATTATTTTTTCCCATTAAGTTATGTCTGGATACATTGTTCTTTGGATAAAATATTAAGTGGAAGGAAAAAGTAAATGAGAGCATATTTGTAAAAAGTCAGGACTTAACTTAATCTAGTAAGCTATATATATGAGTGTTTCTTTTTTTACTTACTACATAAAGAATGACTTAATAGAGAAAGTCAAGAAATTGAACTTTTCCCCCTCAAGTCCTATCTTTTTACAAACTTGCCCCAAGGGTGCCCTCATTTCTTATAGACTTTTTAAACATAATTTATCCACATAACATTATATTCAGTTATTCAGACAAGACTTAATCTGAAAAAAAAAAGAAACAAACACCATAGTCAAGTCTGATATTTCTGCAGGCAGGAGATAACCCAAGGTGTTAAAAGCTCCACCCGTGCAGTTCGTTTGGCCGAGGAAAGATTGAGGCGATTAAAAAACATGAATCCATTAGGTTAGCAGTAATATATTCTCAACATCATTCCTAGTCCTATACACAAGGGTAAAATTGTTATTTATTAACACTTGCTCCATACAAAGATCATTTATCTATTCAACACTTTATCTAACTAGTTTTTTTTCCCATTATTACTTGTAATATTATGTTATAAATTTAAATTACTTTATTTATTTGGTAATAATCGTGTCTTAATATAATTTATAAAGTTAATGCAACAAAAAAGTTGCAAGATGAATTTGCAAAAAAAAAAACTAACAAGTGTAAGGGGTGTACTTTTGAAAATCTATACAATTTAAAAAAATAAAAAATATACTCTTTGGTGCAAAAAATGGTATTATGGGCTGAAAATGGTCTTAAAAATGTCTCATTATCCAAGTTCTACCTGTTTTGTTAATATTTCCTTCAATTGCTTCCAAAATTTAAAAAATAAATATAAATTAGTTTCTCGTATTTTATATTATACAAAAAGATATAACAACGTACTTTGTCTTACACAGGGACCATTAATGTAATTTAATTTTAAACAGGGACCATTTATGTAGTTTTGATTAGATAATGATCAAAATAACACAACATTCACATTTCAAAATCATTACTTTTTATATTTTTAGCCTTCTGATTATATGTGATTCACATGAAAATCACATATGAATTATATGTGATTCACATATAAATTACAAGTGAATCATATATGAATTACATGTAATTCACATGTAAATCTAATGTGATTCATATGTAAATCACAAGTGAATCACACATAAATTGCATGATTCACATGTAAATCATATATAAGTTACATGATTAACATGTAAATCATAAGTGAATCATATATGAATTGCATGTGATTCACATGTAAATCTAACGTGATTCACATGTAAATCACAAATGAATCACATGATGTACATGTAATTCACATTTAAATCATATATAAATTACATGATTCAAATTTATTCACTTAGAATAAAATGTAATTCACATGTAAATCACATATGAATTATATGATTCACATTTATATCACATGTAAATCATATATGAATTACATGATTCACATGAAAATCAAATATGTATTTTTGTGAGTGTTTTTGCATCAATATATATATATATATATATATATATATATATATATATATATATATATATATATATATATATATAAATTTTCTTGTAGATTTGGAAGAAAGTGTGGTGGATATTGAAGAGGTGAAAAATGATAAATTGAAGAAAATAAGGAAATATTGACACGAAGAGATGAAAATGCTTTGAAATTTGTAACATTTTTTTTTTATATTTTTTATATTTTATTTTATATCGAATAGAATATTTGTACTATTATGTTTATAGATTAATTAATAAAAATGAGATTTTTTGTGATTTAGTTACGAATATTATAGTATAAAAAATATACATATATACATTTGAAAAAAATGTGCATATATGTACCTAAAAATTTACTTATTTAAAAAACGTGCAGTTTTTTTTTGAAAAATATGTAACTTTCTTAAAAAAAACTTGCGGTTTTTTTATTTAAAAATGAAGTTTTTTTTTAAATAATTGCAGTTTTTTTGAAAAAAAATGCGGTCTTTTTTTATTTTTATTTTATTTTTAAATAGCAGTTTTTTGAAAAAATTATAGTTTGTTTAAAAAAAAATCATAAAAAATTAAAAAAATTTGCATTTTCTTTTAAAAAAACGAAAAATACTATATTTAAAAAAAAAAATCTGAAAATTTGATTTATGATGTAAATTTTTGGTCATTTGTATTAATATATTAAATAACACAAAAAAATTATACATTAAATGAGATTGGTAAGATGATGATCATGTCCTTAATAAATTACTTTTGATCTAATGCTCTATTATATGTTCAGATTTATTTGAGGCCATGCTAATTTTGTGGGACCATGAGACCAAGTCTAAAAATAATTTTAAAATACAAAATAAAAGGAAAAATCGATTTTTTTTTATTATTATTTTCGTCACTTTAATCATAAAAAAATTTACCCTTTTTCTGAAAAATAAGTAAAATATTCTAATAAAATATTATACTGTAAATATTCAAATATGATTTTTAGAATGTTAGAATATTCTACTAGATTTGTCAGATATGTAAAATATTCTAATATTCTACTAGAATATGTAAAAAATTATATTTTTTTGGGAAAATATAAATGAAGAAAATAATATTTGTTTTTTTTATTTTTTAAAAAATTTCAATTATTTTATATTTTAAAAATGTATTTTTTTTAATATACAAAATAAATAGCTAAGATTGTGTCACGGTTTCATAAAATTTGATCGTCTCACATGAACCTAATTATATATATATATATATATATATATATATATATATATATATATATATATATATATATATATATATTCTTTTAAGTTAAGTTACAACAATGTTTGTTTTATTATCCCAACAGATCAAATCCACAAAGTAGAATATGAAGGGTATCTACGTCAATACTTTCTTCAACCAAATTCATTTTTCTAGGCATCTACTTTAAAAACAATTTTGAAGCCAAACCAAGGCTGGACGGTGTCGAGCTTAGATGGGCATGGAGGCCGGCGTTATTTCCATGACAATGATGGGTCCGTTTGAATCGATTTTGAACTAAACCAAACCCAAAATCGAGTTTATCGGTTTTCAAAAAAGTAGAACAAAACAGAACACGACCTGATATTTTTTAAATTCGGTTTGGTTTGGTTTTTATCAGTTTTTACATTTCTTAAAATCATAACTTAAGCCGATATTTTGGTTTTTAAAAACCTCAAACCGTAGGTTTCTATTCGACGTCGATTTTATCGGTTTTTTCTGCTTTCAGGTTTGGTTTGGATTACCCCTAGTTGCAATGAAGGCGTCTATCGCACTTCCAAACTTAAATTGGTGGCCATTTTATGTTAACAAACTAAAAAAACATTACCATTTTATTAAAGTAAATTTTAAAAAGTCTTTGTATTAAGAGTTTTTTTTTCTTAAATTTTTTTTAAATTTTACATTTTAATATTTTAACGATAATGCCGTGACTTTTAAATGACAAAAAACTGCCAATTGTTTATTTAAAAAAACAAGAAAGCAACAATCATTGATTATATTTATAAATATTTGGTATTTTAACCGGTAATCTTAAGAAAAATGTATATATTATGAGATTATTAAAGATAAAATTTTGATTTTTTTTAACATAAAAGAATAGAAAATATTTTTATTATAACCTACTGTATTATCTTTGTTTCATATAAATTATTATCTTATTATATTCTCTTTAAAAAGTATTATCTTATTGTATTATCTATATGTGAGAGAGGGTATTACGTTATTGTATTTTCTTTGTTTGAGAGAGTCTTTTCTTATTGTAATCTTATGTATTCTCTGACCGAGACAGAAAACCTTGTCTTTCTGTAAGATTAAAATGTTCGGAAAGGTAAAAAACAATTATTTTTGAAAAAATACCCCGACCAAAATGTTATAAAAATAGTTATTTTTAGAAAAGTCTCGACCGAAAAATTACAAAAAATACAATTATTTCCATACATAGGATATCGCCTATTAGCAGAGAGAATACATTACGATAAATATATCTGTCACATGTAGATACTACAATAAGATAATACCCTCCCACATATAGATGAAATGCATTAAGATAATAATAAGACAAAACCTTTTTTTAGACATAGAAATTACAATAAAATTACAATAAAACAAAACTATCTCTCAAACAAAAAGAATATAATCATAGTAAGATATCTTCTATAAAATAGAGAAAATACAATAAGGTTATAATAAAATAATAATTCTATGATCATTCTAAGATAATTTACTGTCGTGGTATTGTTAATGTACTCGAAATATAGGGCTGGAAATTACCATCTAAAATCTCATGTTTAATGATTGTTGGATTTTTGTCAATTTTTTATAAATAATTGTCGGTTTTTGTTATTTTATATTAAAAATAAAAAAATAAAGTACGAAGCTTATTGTTAATTGTCCCGTTTATAGAGACTTTTCTAGAAGATTTCTATTTTGATAAAAATATTCACAAATTTTGGCCGTTTTGTGATTTTAGTTCATAAGAATGGGCTGTGGGGTTGATTAGTAACTCACAGCAGAAAAAAACATTTTTTTACACTAAAATACTGTGTCACATGATGGAATGTTTTTCTTCTACGAGAATTATTTATGACAATTATTGTTAAACACATGGATACCTTCATATTTGAGCTGTCGAGATTCTCTCATGATTGAACTATTTACCCGGAAAACCCCTTTTTTGCAACCATATATGCTTTTGACCCCGAATGTTTTTGCAGACATCTCATGTAAGATAATGATCATTTTATCTTAGAAGTTACTAAATTTAGTTTGTCGGGGGTGGAAACTCGATTTTTATCACCAAATTTTCCCAAAACTGTTTTTATGTATGAAGTGTCTGAACATGTATAACCGGGCACAAACAAGATCTAACAAAGTGGTTGCAAATTTTTTCTTTTTAAAATAACTACATTATAAACTGAGTTAAACGCAGGGAATAAAAAAAAAAACAAATAAACGTCTACAGAAATGTGTAGAAGATACATTGAAATCGATAAATATTTATAATTGTTGGAAAACCTCTTTGAAGACAGTATTTTTTTGTTTTATTAGTTGAAAGACCTTCCGCATCACATATGAGTATTTTCAAATATTTTTTACTTGTGATACGGAAAACAACTATATATATATATATATATATATATATATATATATATATATATATATATATATATATATATATATATATATATATTTTGAAGAGCAGAATTTTATTAAAAGAAAAACTAGCAAGAAGCTAGAAATATTACATCAAAGAAGTAGCAAAAGAGGGGTTATGAAGCCACTCAGTCCAACGTAAGGTAACCCTACTACATCTATTAGAAATCCAAGAAAAGGATTTCTCAACCACATCGTCAAAAAGAACCGATTTTTTTTGGGAAGAACCGTTCCAAAAATAGACATATTACGAAAATTCCATAAGCACCAGATGGCGGTAATAATAACCGCATCAAAAGCCTTTCTTTGACCTGTACTCAAAGCTATCCCATCCGACCAATTGATTAAGGGCTGCATCGAGATCTGTGATGGGAGAGCTAAACCCCACCATATAGCAATCCTACCCCAAATATCGCGTAAGTCACGACAACCAACAAAAATATGGTCAATAGTCTCAACTGCAACCAGGCATATTGGGCACATGATAGAAGGGACTGTAACCCCTCTAATCGAAAGTCTCTCCCTCGTAGGAATAGTAGATAGGTGAATCCTCCATACTAGAATATTGAGCTTAATAGGAACCCAATTTTTGGATGTGGTGGAGGGAAACAACTACATATAACTAACCACTAGTGAAAACAGGTCTATGCAAGTATAATCCAACATTTGATAATAAGTGTCCTTGACTTTTGTTAATGACCATAGCGAAACAAACAACTATGGGGAATTGCCTCCGCTGAAAACGAAATGAATTTTTTTTATTAGACGAGGTTAACTTTATGTGAGGTATATAAGTAGTCTCATTGAAAAAATATGCCATACATGATTTGGTCTTCAATCACGTGTCTTCCAAGCCTTACGATCTGTAATCTAATACCATTGCATAGTCATTTAGTTTGGTCGATATTACGAAGTAACATGACCGAAACACCTTTTTTTTAGTATGAGCTTATGGTTGGGAATTCCGGAAGCCTTAAAACCATTCAACACATCTGGAGAGTATACAAATTCCTCAAAAGAATCTTGTGCCTTAGTCTCACATAAAGAATCTGAACTAAGATACGTTTTCCCTTCATCTTTCATCAATTCTAACATGTAGTCTTTGATAGCATCGACTTCTTCATTTGTAAGGACCAAAATAGCTCAATCTTGAAAATACAATGGATCAACAAGATGGTTCTAAAAGGATGAATAACTTGTGGAGACAATTGAATGAATATGGTCACCCATAGAGGGAACGATAACATATTCTGGAAATTTAACTTCAACTTCACCATCATTAGGGCCACCAATGGGCAATGGTACATTCACTAATTTTAAGAATCCATTCAGGAAATGATTTTTTCTCTTCGAAATCATTGTTTGGACAATCAACATGAAGCCTCATGTTTACATTCAAATGTAAAACTGGACATTCACGTCATAATCTCGATGAATGCAATGATGCGTGTACAATATCTGAACGATTTCTTCTTTGTATTACTTGA